CAAGGTTAAGGGACTTGCCCAGGGTCACATAGATAGTATCTGAGGTTGGATTTGAATTCAGGAAGATGAGTTTTCCTGACTGCAGGACTGGCACTCTATCCACTGTGCTGCCAGTCTGCTCAGGATGAACTGAATTAAAATTCAGCCTCAGACACTAGCTGTATGACCTTTGGTGAGTCACTTAACTTCTGTCTGCCTCAGTTTTCTCACTTGCAAAAAGGTGAAAATAATAGCACCTACCTCCCAAAGCTATTGTGAGGATAAAATGAAATAAAATAATAACAAATAAATAATAATAAAATAAAATGAAATAGCACAGGTGTTATCCAAGTGTTAGCTAGTGTTATTCTTACTGGTAAGGAGAGTATCAGGAAATTCTGGTTAACAGAGTATCGGGAAATTCCTTTATCCCATTAGTACACTTGTGTGAGTGCTCAATATTTTTTCTATTACATGAAGTGGAAAGAGAACAGAATTCAGAGTAAAGGGGTCTGGGTTGGAATCAATCACTATTTGTATGACCTTGGGAAAGTCATCACCACCCCTTCCCCTCTCTAAGTTTCAGGTTCCTTATCTAAAAGATGAGGTTGGCCAGGGTGACCTCTGTATCCCTTCTTGTCCTAAATCCTACGAATTCCCCAGCTGACTGGCTCTTTTTGCCCTCCGAGTTAATGAAATGAGAAAAGTTTCCCAAAGGAGCTACAAATTGACCACTCAGTGCCTGCATGGTCTCCACTCTTGGGCCGTGATTCATACCGCTGGGTGGCCCCAGAACCATGAGAGCTTGGGGAAGGAGGACAGCTCTCTTCTTACCTCTCTCTAACCGCACCCTCTGTGGCCCCTTCTAGTCCAGCCTCCTGGGTGGCTACCTCAGACATCTCCTGGGCAGCCCGAGCCATGTTGACAGCAGTCGGCCTGGCTGTCACCAGGTAGTTTAGTGAGTTCTGCACGAAGGTCACTAGGGCCTCAAGCCCAGGTCCCCCTGCACCAGCATGCAGCTCCACAGCCAAGCTCAGGCAGCCCACTATGGCGATGGCTGGAGCTCCCCGTACCTGCGACCAGGAAGAGAGTGTAAATCAAGTGACTTGGTCCCTGATTCCCCACGGCTGACAGAGAGGTGAAACCTGGCCCGCTAGGGCTCAGGATAGGGTACATATAGCCCTCAGTTCTAGCCTACTCCGAGCTAGAACCCAAACCGTAGCTCAGTTTTCCTGTCCTAGGTCCCGAACTGTCTTTTGCTTCTTTTTGTATCCCCAGCACTTAGCACAAGTGCCTGGCATACAGTAGCTGCTTAATAAATGTTTATTGAGTGTACGGACCCTGAAGAGAAGGGCTTACAGACTCAGTCACAGGCTGTCAGAACAGGAAAGATTGTTTAGTTCAAATGCCTCATTTTCCAGAGAAGGAAACTTTGGACTGGGGAAAGGAAGAGACTTTCCCGAGGTCAAACAATTATTAAGTAGCAGAGGAGGATTTGAATCTAGATACTCCAGAACCAAATCCAAAGTTCTTTTCACTCTGTCATGTTGCTGGATCTCAGGCTAAGGGATAGGTGTTCTAATCTTTGCTTTATCCCAGCTATGCTGGGCACCCAAATTATGCTTCTGTTTCCCATGCTGATCTACTATGGCTATATAGTTGTGAGTGTAAGAGATGGGACAGACCTTAGAACAGAGAGTATTAGGGGCTGAGAGGGGGGCTTAAATCACAGGATTCAGAACTAGAAGGGCCCTTAGGACACAGGACGTCAGGGCTGGGAAGGCCCTTAGAACACAGGACGTCGGGGATGGGAGTGGCCGCAGGACACTGAAGACCCGAGCCTGGGGGTCCTTTATGGATCCTCCAGGTACACTTTTCCTCTGCCCCTACCACCCCAACCCAGGGCTCACTCTTTCACTCCAGACTCGCAGCTGACTTCACGCTCGGTTCTCCAGACCCTCCGCCCCCTTCCCTCCGCCCACCTTCATGGCCCTGATGGCCTCCCAGGCCTGGCATACGGAGGTCACAGCCTCATAATGGCTCTGTTGGGGCAGCAGCAGCTGGTCCAGGATGTGCAGGGAACCCCGGTGATATCGGATCGCCTCCAGGCTCATGGCAGGCAAAGAAAGGAGCCAGGGAACTATTTCCAGGAGCCAGCCAGGCCAGCGGGAGCCAGAGAACTACAGTGTCCGTCCCCACGTGGGTCCTGGCTTCCTCGCCGCCCTAAAGCGAGTCATTCTTAGGGGGCGGGGCCTGACGGGAGAAAGGTGGGGCAGACACTAAGCTAGTTAGAAAGCGCGAAGGGGAAAGTGATAATACCGTACTACCCGGGTATGTAAAAGCTGGCTGATTGACGGACTGATGGACTAATGGACCTAATGGATTGCATGGGATTCCTTCCCCGCCCCCCTTCTCACTCCAGGTTACTTTGTGTAGACTTTGTGTCTACCGTCTACATATTTAAGTACGAATGGTCTCCTTTCCCTAAGAATGTAGTAAGCTCCCGTAGGGTAGGTAGTTCCCCTCTTATCGCAGCGTTCCTAGCCCTCGGCACAGTCCCTTAGGTACTTAGTATTTGCTTAACTCATGGGAAAGTCGGAATAACTACCTTCTCAGGGCCTGGGGTTGTTAGGATACGGCTTCCAAGCAGGATCACCTCACTAAGTGGCTACATGGCCTTCGGCCAGCCAGGGGCAATTTGGATTTGAAGTCAGTGGGCCTGGGTTTCTATGGGGTACATACTACCTAAAAAGGTAATGGCTTGGGCAAATTATTTCCCCAATCTTCCATTACTCAGGTGTAGATTGAGAGGGCTGGAGATAGTATCCCCTGTAGTTCATTCCAGCTCTAAATCCTATAACCAGATACACTTTGAGTTCTTTTCTGGCTCTAAAACGATGATTCTGTCATCTATTAAACCTTGTGGTTAAAGCACTGGATTTGGTGTTAGAAAGCCTGGATCTGAATTCTATTGCTCCCATGGACTTTCCCGTCTTGGACCACAATACAGTAACATAAATGAAAAGAACAAAGAAATGAAACCGAATGGTGAAGTAACATCTTCCTCCTTTGGAAAGAGCAGTGACTATGGGACTGAAATGTACACACTCTAACTTGGTCATTCGGTTTCATTTTGTCTAAATATTTTTGTTACAGGGGAGGGTGATCATTCTAGGAAATGACATGTCAAAACAAAAGGCAACATAAAAACATTTCTCAAAAAAAACAGGGAAAAATTATATGTATGTATATAGATAGGCAGGTAGAGGGCACAGGGTGAGTTGAAGATTAAGGGGTCATATCTGGAGAATAAAATTAAGGGATGAGAGAAGATTATACTAGGAGAAGAAGAAAGGGAGAGGTAGAACAGGGTAAATTATTTCAAAAAAAAACAAACAAACCAGAAAAGAAAAGGCTCTTACAGTGGAGGGGAAACGGGGGAAGGTGAGAGGGAATGAGTGAATCTTATTCTCATAGGATTTGGTTTAAGGAGGGAATAACATACACATTCAATTGGGCATGGAAATCTGTCTTACCCTACAGGAAAATGGGGGAAGGGGACAAGAGAGCAGGGGGATGATAGAGAGGAGGGCAGATTGGGAAAAGGGGTAATCAGAAGCAAATACTTCTTTCACAACATGTCTACTATGGAAGCGTTTTGCATAACTGCACACGTATAACCTATATTGAGTTGCTTGCCTCTTCAATGAGGGTGGGTGGGGAGGGAGGAAGGGAGAAAATTTGGAACCCAGTTTTAAAAACACATGTTTAAAAAAAGTTTTCAATGCAACTGGGAAATAAGAAATACAGGAAATAGGGTACAGAAGTCTATCTTGCCCGACAGAAAAATAGAAGAGGAAGGGGATAAGAGAAGGGGGGGGGGAGGTAGAAGATAGGGCAGACTAGGGGAAGGGGTATTCAGAATGCATGCCATCTTGGGGTGGGGGGGAGGGCGAGATGGGGTGAAAATTGGGAACTCAAAATCTTGTGGAAGTAAATGTTGAAAACTAAAAATAAATTTATATTTAAAAAATTATATTTTAAAAAAATGAGATGTGCCTAGGTGATCTTTAAGGGCTCTTGCAACTCTAATAAATCTAGGACTCTGTGCTAATTTTACAGCTCACACGTCCTAAACCCAGTACATCCTTCTCAGTCAAGACACCATAGGTTAGGGAGTAGCTCCCCCTACAATCCCTCTTCCATTTCCTTTCAAGCCTCTAAACCTAGGAGTGCAGGACCTAACAAAGGAAGGGTCTGAGGAGCCTCTCAGGCAATTGCAGTAGCCCTCCTCTTTTAAAAGGCTTAAATTCAGGAATTCAATCTTCAAACCCCTCAGGGTGCCACAATGTGAGCCAATAGCTCACCTTTCGGCTTTCCCAGGTGTAGGGCTGGGGGCTGCCAGGATTCAGGTAGAGCTCACAGGTTCTCTGTTTCCCAATCTGCTCGAGCCCCCCCCCCCCCCCGACAATGGGGGTAGGAGGAGGGAAAGGGGGTAATAACTCCTTAGCAGCCACTTCTGGGACAGCTTTGTTTGGACTTTAGTGTTTGAACAGTTTTCAAGGAAACAAACCACGAATGCATTTTTGTTCCATCTGTGTCTAGAGAGCTAAGAGGTCAAGGAGGAGTTGGCCTGTGTAGGCAATATAGTGTAATAAAAAGAACACTGGACCTGGAGTCGGAGGGCTTGGGTTACTTAATCTGCCTGAGTCTCTGTTTCCTCATCTGTCAAATGGGGATAATATTTAAACTACCTATTTTACAGTTGTCAGGAGAGTATAAGCCTCTGTAAGCCTTAAAGTGCTGTATGTGTGAAATACTATATTTCATATATAAGCATACATAAATCATAAATCACTATCTTTGTGACCCTGAGCAAGGCACTTAACCCTGTTTGCCTCAGTTGCCTCATCTGTAAAATGAGATGGAGAAGGAAATGATAAACCACTCTAGTATCTTTGCCAAGAAAACCTCCGATGGGATCATGAAAAGTCAGAAATGACTGAACAACAACAAAAAAATCACATATACACACATCTATAAAACCATTGCAAACAGTGTACACATATATATGTGTATGTGTGTGTTACTGATGTATTCTTGGTCAATTCCCTTTGCCTTCTCTAAGGTCCCTTGTAGGTCTAAATCCCATGACTTCTAAGTCTTACTTAGGGGAGACATGGGTGGGAGCCCCAGTTTCCCTATTTTAACACTGCCTACTCTATCCCAATCACACAGAAGGGACTGCTATCTAATAATCTGATGCACTAACTGGATTTAACAGGCGGGGGTTTAATAACTCATGTTAGAGATTCAAGCCAGACACCACATACTCCCTTCTCAGTTAAATAAATAAAAACCCAATTATTTACAGAGGAATCAAATCTGGGGGAGGGGGAAAGGGAAGAATTTCTTGGTTCTTGGAAGGCCTGGTGAGAAGCCCATATATATATGGTTTCTTTGTTGAGTGGAAGCCTCCCTGGGAGTGAGCACCCACTTTAGCTGGCAGAGGTAACCCTGAATTTCTTAGAGAGGGAGGCAAAGGTGTGAGACCAGCCTAGGAAGGAGGAAATTACAATATTAATCACTCTCAGAGTCTGAATAGTCTGCAACTAGTGAAGAATTGAGGACAGAGGTGTTGCTAGGGCCTGACTGTGTCTCCACATCTGGGGAATAACCTCTATCTGACAAAGATCCTCCTGGGGGGTGTTCTTCCTCCTCCTTCATTCCACTTAGCTCTGGGGCTTCACCTGACTCTTGAGGGTTCTCCAGGCCATCCCTAGACTTCCGACGAACAATTCCCAGGTCACTGCTAGTGATGGAGGACCCACTGGGCATGGGTTTTCGGCTAATTGCCAGCTTCTTGAGGACACTGTTCACCTTGCTGTTGCTGGCCCCAGGTCCTGGGGTAGAAGGGAACCAGGAGCGGCCAAAGATTTCTGTCCGTTTCAATTTCTGTTTGTCTTCATATGCTGGCAAATGGAGACGAGGTAGAGTAAAAGGTAGGGCAGGAGCCAGTATTTCTTTAACCTGCTCCAGATAGGCTCTAATGCACTTCATACTAAGGGCTCCCTTCCCTCCCTACTCTCACATCCTCTCTCCATCCTGGAGCTTAATATGGCGTTTCCCCTGTCCCCATCCCCTGCCCCCACTCCTGGGCCACAACAGGTGACAGACGAGGACGTACAGTCCAGGCTGTGGTACTTGAGCAGGGCAGCAAGCTTCCGGTCCTCCTCTGTTTCAGGCACCAGGGGGATACTGAGGTTTGCCTTGGTCTGCAGGGCCAGTGTTTTTTCCTCCTCTTCCTTTATGGCCTTTTTCTTTTCCTAAAGTAGAAGATTGGCAAAGGGAGGAGGAAAGGAAGAAAGATGAAGAGGGAAGCATGGGAACTGAGGAGAACTGAGTAGAGGAGTGGGAAACCTCCTTCTGACCACTGCCCTCTAAGAACACAAGGCTGTCCTATGCAAGGACAACAGCCCCAGTCAGCTCCCTTGCTTCAAGTTTCATTTCCAGAAAAATGCCTTGCTTCCTCTACCCGGTCTTGCCCATGGGATGGAAACAGTCCTGGATTTGTGCCATGATGACTACTTAAAAAGCAGTACTTACTATTTTTAAAAAGTCTCATTTTTAAAAAAATCTGTAAAATGAGGGGGTTGGATAAGATGGGACAAAGGCTCCTTCCAGCTCTAGACCCTATAAACTTATTCATTACCTGTGTGACCTTTGGTAAATCATTCACCCCTTCTGGGTTTCAGTTTCCTCCTCTGACAAATAAGTTGGCTGGATTAGAAGACATGTGAGGTCTGTTCTGGCTCTAAAATCTATGATCCTGACATGGGAGGCTCAACAGCTCTATGCAAAGGGACTGACGACCTTCCCTGTGAGTAGCTCAGACCCAAAGGCACCAACCTACAGTGACTGCCCAACATCCACAGACGTCTCCCCTGAGCCCCAGCCCTCCTCACCCTAAACTTCCTCCTTAGCATGCTGTTAAGGGCAAAGTCATCCTTCCAGGCGCTCTGGGCTTCCTGGATGTTGGACAGGGTGGGAATGGCCTTCTGTAACTTGCTCTGGTCTGTGGTGCCATGCTCCAGGCGGAACATGGCGTCTGTTTCCAGCTTCTGTTTCTTCTCCTGCTCTGGAAGGAAAATGGGGCTAGGTGTTTGAAAGTCCTGCTCTTGGGCAGGGGAAGGCCTGTGGGCTGGAGGGCAGGGCTCACCTGTGGTCAGGATCTGTTCATTATCTGCCATGTCCCAGCGCTCCTCCTTCCTCTGGGCACCACTCACAATCACATAGTCACAATTGGCAGGATCTGTCTGCATCTCGATGTAGTTGACACAGAGGTGACATTTCATTCTGAACCTGCAGAGGAATTTACAGACAGAAACCATGAGATCAATGAACCACCATCCTCTAGAGATTTACTAGGGAGCCTCAGAGAACCAGAGCTGGAAGGTAGACTCAACAGGAGCAATTGTCATAGAAAAGGCTAGACTGGGCTAGGACCCCTTTCTGTGGAGATGTAGGCATAAAGGAGGTAACATCCATAGACTGACAACTGGAAGGGACCTTCAATCTCATCCAGTTCACCTGCCTTGTTTAAGCGACATGAGGAAACTGAGGCTCAGAGAGCACAGGTGATTTGCTGGAGGACATAAATGAGTGTCAGATTCAGAGTTCCAGGCCAGTCCTCTTCCACAACACCATGCTGCCCCCTGAATAACTCTTATTTCTATAGTTTAGGGGTTATAAAGTTCTTCCTTCATCAACCTGGAAGATAAATGTTGCAAATATTATGACTATTTCACAAATGAAGAAAGTGAGGCAGGTTAAGGGACTTGCCCGTGGTCACATGTCTGTCAAATGTCAAAGCTGGATCACATGACTAGGGTCAGAGTAGACAGGATGGAAAGCGTAATGCAAAATACAACTTGAAAATGAACTGGTGAGACCAAAGACAGATGCCAGCATGGCGGAACTGGCAGGGAACTCATGCTGCTAGGATGAATCCTTCAGCTGGAGGATGGCTGGATGCTGGCACCTACTAGGGTTTTAACATTTCTGTGCTTATCACCAGCTTATCTGCATAAACATAAGAATGGGGTTGTGCTTTCTGCCTTTTACATGTGGGCTCTCCCTCCTTCCAGACTCTGCACACCCTAGCACCACAATGCCTTGGCCTGGGCACTTAGTGGGGTGCTGGTGCATGCCAGAGTGGCTGAGGATGCCTGAGCTGGGAGGAGGTGCTTCAGCCGGGGCTCCTCATTCCCTTCTCCCACCATAACACAGCCAGAGCCTCAAGGAAGTCCATGTCATTCTCTCACCTATCCATGGCCCCTTTCATCCATTTTCCCCCAAAGGCATCTGAGTTTTCTGTAGTCCCCCACCCAGAGACAGTACTCAGGATACCAATACAAAGCAGCACCCACCTGTAGATTGGGGTTGTGTAATAATTGCCAACCTTCTTCTTTTCAGCATTGTAACGAACACCTGGAAAGGAAGGCAAAGAGGAAAATGACTCAGGAAAGCTTGCTAGGCATACTATATCACCCTCCCAAATTGGTCCTACCAATGCTTTGTCAGGTCACTCATTCAGGTAACATTTATTAACTGCCAACTGAATACAAGAAAATGTGCTAGGCATTAGGGATACAAAGATGAAAATGGTATAGCCCTGGCCTGAAGGAGCTTACAATCTAAAGAGGGGATAATATACACAAATAACTATGAGATAAGGCAGAATATAGAAAGTACAAAGAAGAGGTTCCAAAAACCATTCTGAAAAATGAGAGGAGGGAGAGATCATTTTCAGCTGAGAGGTTGGGGACTAAGAGGAGCTCTCTCAGAGGAAACTGGCCCCTGAAAAGAAGAAGCTGCATAGGCCATCCTCTATGCCAGGTAAATACTCCCTGTGAATCTCCACCTAGAGGTGGAAAAATAGCCTATACAACTATATGACAAAAAAAAGCCTACACAACTCACAAGAAGGGAAGGGGAAGAGGACAAAATTGGGTAACAGGAATTGGGTAACAGGTGGATGTCCACTTTGGCTGCAAGGCAGAGTGAGTGATGGGGAGAAGGTAATTGTGAAATATGGCATGGCTACAGGGTCATAGATCTAGAGCTGCAAGGGAACTCAGAGGTCATCTAGCCCAGCCTCCTCATTTTACAGATAAAACTGAGGGTGAAAGGGTATGGTATCCTATAGGCAACAGAGAAACAATGAACATTTTTGAACAGGGAAGTGACATGGTTAGACTTCTGCACTTAATAATGATGTGAAGAAGAATTATAGAGGGCAGAAAGTAGAGACTGGGATTCAGTTACACTAGACTAGAGAAGAGGTAATAGAAGAGGGTCCCCAACTAGGATGGTGTCAGAGGGCGTGCAAAGGAGGGGACAAATGCAAGAGATATTTCAGAGACGGAATCAACAGGTTGACTTGGTGTGGAAGAATGATGACTCACCCATGCCAATGTGGTTCTTACAGCCATCACACCAGATGTTATAGGGCATCTCAAATCTACTCCACAAAAATAAAGAAGAGCACTGTTTCAAAATGCCCACTTGGGATTAATACCCGAGAAGAAACCACACATTCAAAGCTTGCTTCTACCCTAACCTGTAAAGAACTAGTGGCCAATTCTGGAGGAATGCAGGGATCACATGTGTGCCTACCAGCTTGGGGGAAGAATACAGTCCTAAAGCTGCTCCAAGACAATTTAACTTTGCGGGGCTATTACTAACCCCTCCCCAAGCCACTACACAAAACCCTCCCCAAAAAGAATAGGAAGAGTGTTACCAAAAATCATGTGTGCACTGATTTTTTAAACTAAATCTCACAGACATATTAATTTATACTCAATAAACATTTATGGAGCACCTTTCTGTAAGGTACTGGGACACAAGTATAAGGAGTATTGCATAATAAACATTAATACCACCACAACAACCCATGGCACCCCCCCTATCATTTATACTGATCTAAGGAAGCATTTCCATTAGATGCTCCCCTGCTCAACCCTAACTGGTGTCAATCAAAATCAACATAGGATTGTGGGATAGGCCGTTACAGAGTATCTCTCTCAGAAGCAATGGGAGGGAAACTTTTTTTTTGGGGGGTTAGGCAATGGGGTTAAGTGACTTGCCCAGGGTCACACAGCTAGGAAGTGGATTTGAACTCAGGTCCTCCTGAATCCAGGGCCAGTCCTCTATCTACTGCGCCACCCAGCCGCCCGAGGGAAACTTTTAAGATGATAATTAGACTCTCATATAACAGGATGACAAAAAAAAAAGTAGTGCATCCATTGGGAAAGAAAAAAAAACTCATAGGGAAACTTGGGTATGGTACCTCTAGCGCAGAAAAGGTGCTGGAGAGGCTGAGGAGTGCCTGGTTGCAGGGGTGGGAATGCCCATCTAGCCTCTCTTTTGTTCTAATAATACCCCAGACTTATTATTTGGGGCCTCTTCTGTTTTAGTCCTGAGGTCTAGTTTCCTCAGACAAGCTCTGGAGCCCACAGTGGTAACATCAACATCCAGGTCTCTCTCAAACACCATTCTCCTCATTAGGACACCAGTGGAAATTCCCATCATCTAGACTCCTAATCTGGCTTATTTTGTCAATGAGGGGCCCCAGATTCAACGGCTCTACCACAGGGATCTGTTCAGCAGCCTTTACCTGATGACAAGAATGCCCTGTGAAAGCTTCCGTGCCCTCTCCCGAAGTGGGTGGCTGTGGTGGTATCGATTGAGAGAGCCATGCTGCAAAACAGAAGAGAATAAAGCTGCTCATCACAACTGGTCAGTGCCCAGTCCAGTGTTCTCCATGACCACAGCTTTCACAGGAAAACCCTTCAAGGGGCTAGGAAAACATCCTGTCAATTCTATTACAGAGATTACTAGTACTCCAGGAGGCTGAGGAAGGGCAGTCCACCCAAAGACAAACACATGCCAAGGTCAAATCTGGGGAAGAGCCCAGGAATTTGGACTGCCTTTTACACATGAAGATTATCATCATCTTAAGATCCTTATGCCTGTGTCACAGGATCACAGATTCAGTACTGGAAGTGACCTTACAGGTCACCCAGTCCAAACATTTCATTTTACAGATGAGGAAACTGAGGCCCAGGGAGGTGAAGGGATATGCCCAAGATCCCACAGACAGTAAATAATCAACAGCTGTCTGGCATGTGTGAGGCACTGTGCAAAAATCAAACAATTCCTGCCTCTGAGTGGCATACATCCTAGTTGAAGAGATGATATATACATTTGTACAGAATTAATACAAGGTAATAATTTTGGGAGAAGGCAGAAGCAAATGGGGGCAGGGAACAGAAAAGACTTAATGTTGAAAATGGTTTATAATACGTTTTGCATGACTTCACATGTATAGCTGATATATTACTTGCCTTCTCAAAGGTGGGGGATGGATGGAAGGGAGAGAATTTGAAACTCAAAATGAAAAAAATGTTAAAAATAAATAAAAATTTAAAAAAGAAAAGAAAGTGGTTCATGCACTAAGCTTTGAAGGAAGCAAAGAATTCTAGGAAGTGGCAGTTAGGAGGAAGTGATTCCGAGCATGGGGAACAGCCAGGACAAAGGCACAGAGACAGGAGATGGTGCTGTGCCTGGGAGCAGCAAGAACGCCAGTCTGGTTGGACCTCGGAGTACAAGACTGGGATGGCAGCCCGGCTCCAGCCTGCAAATGGCTTTCAAGGCCACACAGAGGAGTCCAGATGAAATAAGAAGCCAACGGAATTTATGGAGCAAAGGAGTGACATCATCACACCAGAGCTTCAGGAAAATCGGTGAGGAGGATGGATTAGTAATTGGCAGAGTTTGCAATCAAACCCAGGCCTTGCCACTGCCTGATGCTGCCTCTCTGGCACTCTCAAATGCCATCCATGTGAATGCCAGGCCTCTGTCAGATCACAGGCCATGCCACCACATGGATTTCTTCTTGGCTACAGTTTGATGGAGAAGTAAAAGGATCTCTTACCTTTGCTGGATCAAAGTCTGGAGGGTAGTACTTGTTTACACCTTTTCTTTCACCCTGAAAGTCCAAAATAAAGTGTTACTGTATGTTAAACAACATAGATTCCCAAGGAGAAACAAGCAAACAGCATGACATACAGTGGTAATATGCCTTTTCAGTGAAAATTCAATGTGATCAGGACAAAAAATCCTGGTAACTAAGGTTCTATATGGCATATAGATCTGTAAACAGGTAATAAAAGGGTGGGCCAATGGGGGAGGGTGCACAAGAGTACTGATATCTTTGGGGTAACAATCTGTGTACTCTGGGAGTTTCTTAAAGAGGCTGAATTTGTTTCTGCAGAACTCAATCAACTCACCATCTTGCAAAATGTCGACTTCTAAGCAAACTGAATGTGTCCAACCTGTATAAGACAATCAAATAACATGACTGTACATGGTTCACAAACACACATAAACACCCACACTTTTTCCTATAGTTTGCAAGGAAGTCTGAGTGGTTCTACTGGGTTTCCTACTAGAGATTAGGGTGGCAATAGATTATTTTCAGCTGCCTCAGAGGGCATGGGCCCATTAGATACTCTCCCTAAAGTCCATAAATGACAGCCTGAAAATATGAGGTGTTATCATGCTGGGAAGACAAAATATAGTAAAGTCCATAATAACAGTGAAGAGAGATTCGTTCACCAATCCCTGAATGTTTGACTTAGGAAGCATCCCATGTTTGAAGAAATTCTAGGATGAACAAAAGGAAGTATTTTATACAGATTACACAAGACAATGTTGTACCACACAAAGAGCACTGGAGAAGTGAGGCAATTTGGAGTTCTTGTCTCTGCTATGGAGTACCTATTATAATATTGTGCATGTCTCTGAAACCTCTCTCTGATTTGGCTTTCTTCTCTGTAATAACAGCTCACATTCTACAGGTCTTCAAGGTTTGCAAAGTGTTTCCCTCACAGTGATGTGAAGCAGCTAATGGGAGTATTACTATCATCTTTATTTTACAGACAAGGAAACTGAGAATCATAACTTACCCACGGCCACAAAGCTAGTGTTAAAGCTGAGATTTAAACTATGCCCAGAGCTCTTTCAGCAACACCACACAGTGTCTTGGGACTAGACTAGATGATCGTTGAGGTGTCTTCTGGTTCTGATATTCAGTAACTCCATGCTCTACACATTTACCTCAGGAAATGGTCCAGGTGAGAAAAATGAAGTGGCTGAGGATGAATTTAGACAAATTAAAGGATGACAAATCTCCTACCACCGTTTTAGGTGGAAGTTATAGCTATTCTGGGTATGACGCTAAGCTAGAAGAAAGGTTCTGCCACAAAATGTCCCTTTGAACTCCCACCAGCTAGAATCAAGAGTTCAATTAATCATGGGGTTGAAACAGAGGGAATCATGGTTTTAAGTCTACTGAAGAAGTCTGTATCTAGCCCTGGGTCAACAGGTGACTTCCATTTACACCTTTTGCAAATTATGATTCTGTATCTTCACAGCACTAGAATCATAAGATTCTGAACTGAGAAGGGTCTTTGGATATTATTTAGTCCGTTCCCCTCATGTTATAGAAGAGAGCAGAAAGAAGGAAAATGACTTCTTCACCGTCCAGTATGTAGTGAGTTGCAGAAATGGGATTTGAACTCAAGTCTTCCAATTTCAAAGGGAGCTCTTACTATTACATCATGCTGAATTATAGGTTCTCTGCCATTTTCAAATGTTAACTTTCAGGCAACCGCATAGTAGAAAGAGCTCTGGATTTAACCCAGAAACCCTGGGTTAAATTTCGCCTTCGCTAACTGTGGTCTGCGTGACCTTGGATCAATGCCTTCTCTCTGGGTCTCAGTTTCTCCATGTGCAAAATGTGAGGGCTGGGCTACATGATCTCCAACGTCCCTGCCCGGGCTGATGTTTCTATATGGTTCTTTGAACAGACCTGGTTAGAAGGGGCTCAGAAGGGACCGGAGGCGCAGGGCTGGGGGCTGGGGATGCAGTTGATAAGGCTGACAGCTCGTAGCGACACCTCCTTGCCCCTTCCCAACCCTTCTGGGGCAAGAACTGCCCTCTCTCCTCTCCCCTCCCCCCGGCCTGCTTCTTCCCTTCCGCCACCAGGGGCCGGGGCGGTTTCTTGCCCCGGTGACGCCGCGGCGGCGGGGGTAGGCTCCAGCGCAGAAAAGATCGATCCCCGGAATCCCTGGGACTGCTCGGAGGTACGAAGCTCGAAGGCCCCGCTAAACCCCAGCCCTGCCGCCACCTCCGTTCGCCTCACCGCAAGTGCTTACCTGCCCTCTTCCTACGTCATCAGACGGCGCCGCCCCTAAGGCGGGTGTCCAGACCCGCCCAACTCACGTAATGAGGGAGCCGGGAGCCGGACCAAAGAGACCCGGAATGCTCCGCGTAGACCAGCCCCGAGGCTGGGGGCGGGGCTGCGAGGCAAGATCTGGCCCACGTGACGGGGACTGGCTCCGCGTAGGCCGGTCCGAGGGTGCAAGGCTGGTTTTGTTCCACGTGACCGGGACATCCGCGACATCCACCCCACGAGCTGCGGCTGTGAGGCCGGGGGTGGGGAGGCTCCAGCTGTTGCTGTCGGGTCTGTCTTCCCGACAGCTCCCTCTCCCACGTCATCTGCGTTTTCAGACAGCTCGCCCCAGCAAATTCCTGGATTTCCAGGCACCAGAAAAGGGAACTTGAACTGCCGAGGGGGAAAGCGGGGGAGGGGGATGGAGTTCAGTGCCAGGGCTTTGTCTTCGGTGCCCTGCAGCCTTGACGATAAAAGAGTCACCTGTGTACAGAGAAGCTGGGGAGGGGACTGTGGTGAAGGTCCTGGGAAATAGGGCGCATCTTCTGTCTCTGCATCTCTGTCTCCCACTCTTATCGTCTCTCTCGTGCTCCATTTTCCTCCTTTTCCCTCTACCTCCCTCTCCTTTTTCTTTCTTCCTCTTTCTTGCTATTCTCTCTCCCCTCTGTTTTCTCTCCTTTTTCCCCTCCCCCTCCATCCTCTCTGTTCTCCCTTTCCCTCTCTCCTTTCCTCTCTTCTCTCTCCTTATTCCCCTTCTTTCTGTCTTCTTTCCACTTTGCCTCCTTCACTGGCCTTCGACTCTTTCCCTCCTCTCCCTCTCCTCCTCTCCCTTCTCTCTTTGCCACCTGTCTTCGCTTTCCTCATCTCTTCCTCTATCTTTTTCCCATTCCGTCTTCCTCCTCTTTCCTATTTCCTCCTTCTTCCTTCATCCTCTCTTTGTCTTTCTTTGCTCCCCCCTCTCTCCTCTCCCCCCTTTATCTCTACCTTTCCCTCTGTCCTTTTCTCCTCTTTCTCCCTGTCTCCCTCCTTCATATTGTGGCCAGTAGCAGCAAGCCCAATACCATAACAGGGAGGGAAGGGCTCCCCTCACGTCTTCTTGAAAGGTTTCCTGATCTTCGAAGCTCTGATGATCGACTTACAGAAGCGGGTGTTTGCGAAATCCTTCCTTGAAACTGAATGTAGGAATGTCTTCTAAAAGGTCACCTGAATGACATGGGAGGACCTTCTGGAAGACTGGGAGTAGGAGCAGTGGAGATTTGAGCTATTTCTTAGTAGGCTGCTGGGAGTTTTAATACTTTCTTTTCTTTTTTTTTTGGGGGGGGGCAAGGCAATTGGGGTTAAGTGACTTGCCGAGAGTCACACAGCTAGTAAGTGTTATGTGTCTGAGGCTAGATTTGAACTCAGGTCCTCCTGACTCCAGGGCTGGTGCTCTATTCACTGTGCTACCTAGCTGCAGCCTAATACTTTATTTCTGATTTAATTTAGTATGTTTACTTTATAATGTGAGTATGTCACTTTAGGTTCAGAAGGAAGGAGAGGAGGATCATTTTCCTCTCCTGGATCTCCAAAAAGTCATTCTGCCCAGATGAAATCAACTATGAAACTCACACCTCCTCAGCAACCCCTACCCCTGGGTTCCCTCTGCTTGGAGAGAGTGGGGAGGGGGTGGACATCTGGGAACTCCTCCCCAACCCTCTGTTTGTGGAGGACATCCAGGGAATTCACCTCATCATTTCCCACCTGACTGACCTCCTAGATTTCATGATCTCCAGAAACATCATTCTGCATGATCAAATAACTCTGCAAGTCACACCTCTTCAGATCATTTCCCACCTTGGCTGCAGACTTCATCATCTCCCCACCTCAGCTTATTTTTATGTGCAGTCTCTCCCCCCTTCCCACTAGGTTGTAAATTCCTTGAGGACAGAGACTGTCTCTCTCTTTGTATCCTCAGTGCCTAGCACTATACCTGTCACATAGTAGGTCCTTAATAAATGTTTATTGACTGACTTTGATTTTAAGAGAATAGGGGCAATGAAAACTAATTTTGATTAATTTAAGTGCTTAGCACTTCAGACCTTAGAGCTGTCTAGAATAACCGGGAGGCTGGAAGTGTTTCAGATCCAGGCAGACAGTCCACAGATGCATATGTGCAGTAGGCTTGGGCCCATTGCCACCTGGTGGTTTGTGCTGAGATTATTGAGGAAATGAGAAATTTACCCTTCAGATAAATGTATTGAGAAGACCCATTGGAAGTCTGAGCACTGACTGAGTTAGATACTGGCAGTGCATTATGGCCCATCAGTATATGTATAATATAGGTGTGTGTGTGTGAAAATAGTATCATGTTCTGGTCCCCTGACCACTCCAACCCCCTTCTAGTCAGTATAGGAAGTAAGATTGCAAAGGGGAACCTGGAAGTCACTTACAAACTATGCCCAAGATCAAAGGTTCATAATTTACAAATTGTATCATATATATTAACCAAAAATCAGCACCTGGCTGAATGTGCTGAATCAGGGGAAATCATCAAGGCTTTGCTGTCACGGGTTTTTGGTCTTATGTAAATCTGAGATAAATTCGGGATTTACAAAGTAAGACCAGCAGAACACCAAATAGTGCTGATAACTTTGAGATGATGGGGATCTTTTGCTTTTAAAGGTTTGCTGACAACTTTGCGATAATTTGGTTATGTTAATGTGCCCGTATGTGCCCAAGTGGCACAGGTAAGAGTCTTGCTTCCCCAAAATCCTACAGAAAATGAGACCTCAAACTCCTGCCTCCCCAGTGCTCTTGTATCTCTAGTGGGATCATGCTGCCTAGCGCTCCCAACTCTAATTTGAGATTAAGTTAGTGCTTCTCCCCCTTCTCATCCTCTTCTTCATACTGCCTGTCCCTTGTCACCATCCCATCCCCCGTCCAATCTGCCTTGGCACTCCCTTGTCCCTAGTCTCCCTGTCTCTGTACTTCCTATACCTTTTCACTTCTGCACTATGCCTTATTAAAGTATGATTGCAACCTCAATTCCTGCTGTCATTTATGGTCTTTCCTGATGAATTACCCAAAGAACTAGGCATGCCTGTCCCATCTCACAATTTCATTAGTTCTCAGTTTGATGTGTATTATGACTTTTCATTTTAAAATTCAGAAATTATCAAATAACTGGGGGCTGTAGGATGATTGAGTACTGTTGGGGCCATGCGTTTCACAGCATGAATTAGAAAGTCATACTCGACCAGCATCTGCTAAGCACCTGTTATGTTTGGGGCACGGTGCTAAGTGATGGAGAGACAAAAAAAGTAAGCTCCTCATAGTTTAGTGAGGGAGACAGCATGAAAGACTAAGTAGGACTTGGAAGTCTTGCCGAAGGTGGGACTTTATCGGAGACCTGAAAGAAGGCAGAGAAGCTAGGAAGTGGAGAGGAGTTGGGAGAGGGTTTTAGGCATGGGAGACAGGCAGAAAAATTCTTGGAGTTAGGAGGCGAGAGTATTGCGTTCCAAGAACGGTAAGAAAGATAGATGGTGTTACTGGATCAATGGGTAAATGAAGAGTGAAGTGTAAGAAGACTGGAAATGTGCGTGTCTGGAGGGGCAAGTTCTGAAGAGCTTTGAATGCCTAACAGAGGATTTGGTATTTGATCCTGGAGGTGATAGGGAGCCACTGGAGTTCATTGAGTATGGAGATGGCACGGGCAGACTTGTACTTTTAGGAAGATCACTTTGGCAGCTGAGTAGATGATGGGCTGGAGCAGGAAGAGACGTGTGTCAGGAAAAGCAAAACCGCTGTTGCAGTAATCTGGCAGTGAGGTGATGAGGGCTTGTACTAGGGCTGTGACAGCATCAGTGTTATTCCAGAGATGTTACAAAGGTAGAAACAAAATGACGGTTATTTATTAACGACTGATTGGATATGAGGGGGTGAGAGAGAGTGAGTTAAGGAGTCAAGGATGACATCTGGATTTCAAGCCTTGGTGACTGGGAAGTTTGTGGTACTTTTGACAGTAACAGGGACGTTAGGAAGAGAAGAGGGTTTTTTTTTTCTGGGGGGGTAGTGGGTGGGATAATGAGTTCATGTGATGGAATACGACTGTGCTGTAAGAAATGATGTGCAGATTGACTTTAGAAAAACATGGAAAGATTTGCATGAAATAATGAAGAGTAAAATGAGCAGAACCAGAGAATGTGTGTGTGTGTGTATCTTCGAGGGGTGGGGACAGAGGGAGGAAGATAGCTTGGAATTTAAAATGTAACCAAAAAAACCCCTGCTTTGGCTGCATCCTACTAAGCAAAATAAAAAAGAAAGAAAGAAAGAAAGAAAGAAAGAAAGAAAGAAAGAAAGAAAGAAAGAAAGAAAGAAAGAAAGAAAGAAAAAAAGGAAAGAATGAGTTTGGTTTTGGACATGTTGAATTTAAAATACCTATGAGACATCCTGTTTAAGATGTCCAGTAGGCAGTTGGAGACATGAGTCTGGAACTCAAGAAAAATTTGGCTAGCCCAAGGGTGGGGAACTAGTGGCTTTGAGACCACATGTGGCCCTCTAGGTCCTCAAGGCTGCAGGTTTCCCGTCCCTGGCCTAGACAAATATATTTCAGAGTCAATTGAAACCAAAGGAACTGGTGAGATCACTAAATGAAACAGTGTAGAGAAAGAAGAAAAGGGGGCCCAGGACAAAGCCTTTGGGAACTTACAGGGTTAGCCAGTGTAATGGATGTGAAGCTCCAGTAAAGGAGACAGGAGTGGGTAGACGGGGAGGAGGAGAAAGAGGGGAGAGCAGTGTCAGGAAAACCTAGAGTCCCTGCATGGGAGGGACACCCTGATTGGATACATTAAAGGCCAGAGAGAGTAGAAGAGATGGCCAGATGTGGATTGAAGCAGGAGCTCAGGAGGAATCAGGGACGTATGATATGAAATAATGAGAAATGCTGCTTAGAGAAGATAGCATTCAGGAGATCAGCAGAGTGGCGGGCTTTACGGCTAT